AAAGATTGAAGGGTGCATTTGATAACAGCCTTCAAATCAGGGTGGATACAAATCAATGATTTTTTTAAAATAAAGAAACTAAGATTTTTTTATTTCAATCAGATTTTTTTATTTAAACATACATTTTGATTTTTTTTTTAAGGTTTTTTTTTTTTTAATCTACATGAAGATAGTTTATAATTAGAAGTTATAATCCCTGTTCCAGGATGATATCTTTAAGCTTTAACATATCTTAAAATAAAACTATTTGAGACTATAGGTCAATTAGCCTAACTTCTATCCCAGGGAAAATCCTGGAAAAATTCATTAAGGAGTCTATGTGTGATAGACTAGCAGAAGGTAGGATGCTGAACGACAGCCAGCATGGCTTTGTCTTGGCCAGGTCTTGTGTTACCAACCTCATTTCCTTTTATGATTGGGTAACTTGTCACCTGAATAAGAGAGAGGAGGTTGACGTTGTATACCTTGACTTCCAAAAAGCCTTTGATCTGGTATCCCACGATGCTCTCATGAGAAAATTGGAGGATTGTGGTCTTAACTGCAAGATAGGTAGGTAGGAAGCTGTTTGCAGGGTAGGACCCAGAGAGTTCTCATGATGGGATCTGTGTTGTCCCGGTGAGAAATGGCTAGTGGTGTCCCTCAGGGGTCGGTGCTTGGTCCAGTTCTTTTCAACATCTTTATCAGTGATTTGGATGTGGGGGTGAAGAGCTCACTGGCCAAGTTCATAGACAACACCAATTTATGGTGAAGCGTGGTCACACCTGAAGATAGGCTGCAGATACAGGTGGACCTAGACAGGGTTGATGCAAGTTGAGCGGATCAGAACCAGATGAAGTTCAACATCAAGAAATGTAAAGTGTTCCACCTGGGGATGAAAAATCCCTGGCACACCTACAGGCTTGGCAGTGCCAAACTGACCAGCACCATGAATGAAAGGGACTTGTGGGTAACAAAAGACCACAGTATGAATATGAGCCGGCAGGGCAACGCTGTAGCCAGCAGGGCAAATAATACTCTGGCATGCATCAATTGAAGCATCTCCAGCAAAACCAAGGAAGTGATTCTTCTGTTCTACACAGCATTGGTGAGACCACAGCTGTAGTACTGCATCTAGTTCTGGATGCCACACTTTAACAAGGATGTGGCAAAGCTTGAGAGAGTCCCGAGAAGAGCCACCCATATGATCAGAGACTTCCATGGCAAGCCATACGAGGTAAGGCGGAGGGACTTGAGACTCTTCAGCCTAAAAAAGAGAAGGCTGAGGGGGGACTTGGTAGAAGCTTACTGCTACATCAGGGAAATACATCAAGGGCTCGGTGAACAACTGTTCACCAGGGCACGCTTGGGGAAAACCAGGAGTAATGGCCACAAACTCCTGCAAGACCATTTTAGGCTGAACATTAGGAAAAACTTCTTCACAGTTAGGGTGTCCAGACTGTAGAATAAACTCCTTCCAGAGGTGCTGCAATTGCCTACTCAGGCAACTGATCCCAGTTGTCTTTCCTGCCTGGTGCAGGGGGGCTAGTCCTGATGATCTTCCGAGGTACCTTCCAGCATTACAGTCTATGAATCTATGAATATATTCATGTAACCCTTTTAGAAAAGTTTTATAAATAGGTCACAACAAGCCATAGACTATATTAGGGGCCCAGTCTTATGGGGTTCCCAGAGGATCCTCTGTAGATTAGTAAAGAATAAAGTAAACCACTCTATCCATTGGGACAGACTCAGTGCACAGTCTAGAAGATCCCATTAAGTATCTCTGTGATGCTTAATTTCAGTTCTCAAACTGTGGATTTGTGTCTTCAGAGATAACATCCTTGTTAACAGCAGTATATGGAGATGAGAGATAACAGACCTGATTACCTACCCATCAGTCCTCTTGTCTCTGGAAGTTTGAGTACACAGAGCCAAGCCCTTACCTCTCTATAAACATGTAAAATTTCAAGAAGTTAAATTAATAAACGATATCAAACAACAATAATGCCCTTTTTGTAGAAAAAATGATTACACCGAGGCTTCCTGACCAGCGATTTAAATCGTAATTTAAATCATGCTTTAAATCGATTTGATTTAAATCAGATCCACCCTGCTTCAAATACCTGAAGGGTGATTATATAGAAGGTGGAGGTGGGCTTTTCCTTGTGGTGGTAGGGAACAGAACTAGCAGCAACGGCCTCAGCCTGCAGCAGGGGAAATTTAGGTTGGAGATTAGGAGAAGCTTTCTGACTATTAGGGTGATCAAGCATTGGAACAGGTTTCCTGGAGAAATTGTTGAATTACCATTGTTGGAAATGTTCAAGAACATGTTGGACAGACACTTGGCTGGGAAGGTTTAGTTACAGATGATTTTTATCTTGAGCAGAGGGGGCTGGACTAGATGTCCTTCTTGAAGTCCCTTCCCTTTCATATGGTTCTGGCTCCTGCTCCCAGCATGTTTGAAGTGTGCACCCATGCAGAGGAGAGGGTTGCAACAGGCTGAAGGGAGAAAGCTGCTCCATTTTCTTGAGAAGGGGAGTAAGGAGTGGGAGCTCTACATGGTGTCAGTCATAGTAACAGGTTTTTAGCCACAATTCACTAGTGTCCAACTTCAGACTGCCAGTCCTGGGCTTCAAGGGGGTGTGGGGGCTGGTCCTGATCTCTGTGGGACACGGGAGAGCTGTCTTGGCTGCCAGGCAGCTGCCTCCCATCCATGTGGCGATCAGAACTCATCCCAATCTCTGCAGGGCAGGGAGAGCTGTTCTGGTTGCTGAGCAGCTGCCTCCCAGCTACATGGAGATTGCAGTCTATTCCGATTTCCACTTGGCTGGCAGGCAGCAACA